AAGGAGAGGAAGACCTTTGATGAGATGGATCGATTCTGTGACTAGAGAGGTGGGAATAAGTATGTTTGAGCTGGCTAGGTTGGCACAGGATAGAAGAGCGTATAGAGCTCTTGTACATAGGGTCACTATGAGTCGCAAGCGACTCGATGGCACATAACTACAACAACAACAACAACTCTCCAGTATGATTTACAGCCTCAGAAACACAATGGAGGGTCAGCTATGGGTTAGCTCCAATTTAACAGCAAGGAGAGTGAGGAAGAAAATAGGACAAAAAGGAGAACTGTGGAATGAGCAACACAGTCCCAGTTTAGCTGTATTTCTGCTCTAGTCATTTGATAAATGACTTCCTGCTGGTATAGCTGATACAGGGTAAAAGTTTGTGGTTGTTGTTGTTGTTATGTGCCATTGAGTTGCCCACAATTCATAGAAACCTAATAATATACAACAGCTGTGATTCCTACCCTGTCCTGAGCCAGTCTCACTGACTCCAACACACCTACTCCCATTATCCCAGTTACTCTATCAATTCATCTCATCTAAAGTCTTCGTCTCTTATGCTATCCCCTCACCCTTCCAATCATGATGTCCCTCTCCAAGGATCTATCCCTCCTGGCCACATGCCCAAAACATATGAGACAGAGCTTTAAGATTCCAGCTTCCAAGAAGAAACTTGGTTTCACCCTCTTCAAAACAGACCTATTTATTTTCTTGGTGGTCTATGGTATGTTCAAGATTCTTCTCCAGCACCACAACTCAAAAGCATCAGTTCTTCTTTTGTCATACTTAGCCATTGCCCATCTCTCTGATGCATAGCAAGTAACTAAGAAGACCATGACCTGAATCAGGCTCACCTTAGTCTCTAGACTGGCATCATTGCTTCTCAGTACTCTACAGAAGTCTCTGACAGCAGATTTTTCCCAGTGCAATTCATCTTTTGATTTCCTAACTGCTTGTGCCAAGGTGTTGATTGTGGAGCCAAGCAAGCTGCAATTGTTAACAAGCTCAATCTCTTCTCCATCCATCATGGTGCTGCCATTTAGCCCAGTGGTGAGAATCTTTGTCTTTTTGATGTTAAGCG